CTCCTTGAACTTTTTTTCTTTATAATAAATCCAAATTCCTTTAAGTCTCTCAGATTGTAAGTCCGTTATTTCGGCAGACCACTGATGGAGAACGGTATTCCAGTCCCAAAGATCCGTGATACCGAAGGACTACACGTGCAGAACGAATTCCATCGTTTCATTACTGAGTAAGTTTTGTTCAAAATTTTCTTTTTTTGAAGAAAAATGAAATTCATGGATGTCGAAGGCTTCGAATACTTTTACTAGTATTCAAGCGATACTAGAAAAAATTGGTAGATTATTGAGAAATTTTAACAGTATGTGACTAAGCTGATTATCGCATGATTGTAGCATGAAAGCAATATAAAGAACTTAAAAAAGAAGGCAAGAATAGAACGAACCATAGTTGTAGAAATATTGTAATGCAAGATGTAGAAATATTGCTGGTACAGGGAAAATAAGTACAAGAGAGTTAATATGTTTCGGACCATTAAGTCATGTACGTCTTAACTCAACACTGCGACTGGACCTCGTCAGTATGACGGTCGCAGTTTTCAGAGAGGAGAAGAAAAAGAGGGATTGGAAGGCAGGAAGAAAAAAGACAGGGACGGGAAGAATTTTTTTAAAAGGTACAAATTTAGGGCATTTGAAAAAAATTAGAAGGTTGTAATGTAGAAGTGGAAAAGTGTCGAGAGGAGGAAGTAGCAATATGAATAGAACACTAACAACGCGACTTATACGTGCATGTTGGGTGGTACAGTTACTGTAGAAGAGCGTATATCATACGTTGACAATGGGCCACCGTAGGAGGGAAATACTTAGAAAGCTGGTATGTATTTCTGTGCACAAATGTATTGACTAGACGACTAATGTTATGAGAAAAAAATCCCTTGTGGGAGTAGTGGAGGAGAAGACGACATATTACCGGTGTTGTCGCCAGTCGTCTTGACAGACGCCAGGGCTTGGGTGCACAAATTTCTTCTAATATTCCGGGAATGTTTGGTAAATGAGTTTGTTTCCACTGAGTGTCTTTTCTTTTTTCAGGTTCCAAGATGAAAACGGAAGCTTTGTGTACAGGGAAGCAGTGCTTCAACTGGTTCATCCTGAGCGAAATACGCTTTCAGTGCAGTTTGGTGATCTCTTTTCGTTCAGCAATACTCTCGCATCAGCTCTCGAACTGCAATTTTACCGGTAAATTTTTCCCCCGTGGAGAATTCTTGAAATTGTAAAAGTGCTTTTTTCTGCATGTGAAGAACAAGATTTGAAATTGGCAGGTCTTGAGAAGTCGCGCCAGTTTATTGCATTTGAATGGTTCTATTCTGCAGATTGTATCCATATTTGTGCAAAGCTTTATACATAGCTGTCATGGATAATTGCACGGACGATACTGTGAGACAGAGATTGCACCGAAAAGAGTTTTATGTCAGTATTGGTCAAATTAGGATCAAACACAGGTAACGAAGAGCACAGTAAATCTTGATTCCGCTTATCTGTGTATAGGAGATGAAGAGAATATTGAGGAGAGCAGACTGTAATATATCGAAAAGCTTGAAATGTTTAAGTGCAGGAGAAGCCGTATATGTAAACCCTGACGTTATGGGAGGGGAATTCGTTGAAGTAATGGTGACTGTAATTATCGCTTTTCCATTCTTATATTTTTTTATTATTTTTGTTACTGCTCCTATTTCTATTATTATTGTTATCATTAGTACCATTATTATCATTATTATTACTATTATTACCATTACTATTATCGTTGTCGTCACTTTTATTATTATTATTATTTTCATTAGCATTAATATTCAATTCTGAAATTTTCGTTTAATTTGAAAGCACTTGGTGAGCATAATGTGTTCGCTTCCTCTCGAGATTGAAAGCGCTGTTTTGGATTTGCTAAGATGAAATAAATTGCAACGCGCACCAGACTAGCTGGTGCGATCATGCGTTTTGTGCAATTCAGTCCATCGAACGATTGCCTATTAATGATTTTCACTGCTCTGTGCTTTAGTCTATGCAAAAATAGTTCAGTATAAAGAAGACCAGACAAAAATTTCACGCACCAGCGTATGAAAACTGAATTCGAAACCTTGAAGGATGAATATCTTTTCGTGAGAATTTCACGCACCAGCGTATGAAAGCTGAATTCGAAACCTTGAAGGATGAATATCTTTCCGTGATTTCGATTTCATGCACCAGCGTATGAAAGTTGAATTCGAAACCTTGAAGGATGAATATCTTTCCGTGATTCCCCGCACCAGCGTATGAAAGCTGAATTCGAAACCTTGAAGGATGAATATCTTCCCGTGATTCCCGATGCACCAGCGTATGAAAGCTAAATTCGAAACCTTGAAGGATGAATATCTTTCCGTGATTCCCGCGTTAATAGTTAGCGCATGAAAGCTGAATTCGAAGCCTTGAAGGATGAATATTTTTCCTTGATCCCAGAGTTAATTTTTTTCACTGCTTTGTACTTTAGTCTATGCAAAAGTAGTTCAAACATTGAAAAACAGTTAAAAATTTCACGCACAGCGTATGAAGGCTGAATTCGAAACTTTGAAGGATGGATATCTTTCTGTGGTTCCCGAGATATTAAATTACCCGTAAAAACTTTCACTAGCTTGTAGGTGATACCCGAGAGCGCGGGAACGCTGAATATGAATGGGCAAGGTTGAGCGTGAGCAGGGGGTCATTACCCTAAAATTTCAGCCTCCTAGACTCCATGGTTCCCGAGATATTAATTTACTCGTAAAAATCTTTTACGGGCCCATACGTGTTACCCGCGGGTACGGAAAGCTGAATTTAAATTTGCGGGGTCAAACGTGGATGGGGAATCTTCCACTAAATTTTCAGCTTCCTAGCTTTTGTGGTTTCCAGGTTGAAAGTTGCGGACAAGTTGCTGCGGACACATACACACAGACAACCCCGTGACAATATGCGTTTTGTACTGCTGTTACACAGCACAAAACGCATAAAAACGAACTCTTTTCTGTTAACTAATTTCTTTTGGTGGCCGTTTAAAGAAGGCGTACTAGAGGGACCACTTTTAATTTAATTCTTCGCAGTCCAGAGAAGATTGCACCGTTGACAGATTCACAAGTAAATGGTTGCTTTTGTTATTCGACCACTTCTGAATTTTCCATTTCTTGCAAAAAGAGTTAAATAAGATGTCGAGCTAGTACAAGACGCGATTGTTTCAACTCTGATCTTATTCCTTCCTGCATTACTTAGATCAGTTTTAATTCGTTTCTTAGTTTTTATGTAACTGGGAACTTTTCCAGTTATTCTGACCAGTACTGCATCGTCGTCTGATATTCACCTGCTGGTGAACCTAACGTTCTTTTTTTCTCCTAAAATGATACCTGCCCTGCGGCAGAAAGAGCTTTCAATGTCTTACCATTTTGAATTTGTCTTAGTAAGTTGGGCGTCGCGATCTCGTCCGAAATTTTTCGCACTCTTAGGTCTCTATAAAGTTTCTTATCGAATAAGGAGCTAACTTTTTGCACTGGTATGAAATTTTTACAGGATTCGTGATCTGACTGCAAGCAAAATTGGTGCTCTTACGTGTATCTCGGGACAAGTGGTACGCACTCATCCGGTACATCCAGAATTGCATAAAGGCGTGTTCACCTGCGATGAGTGTGGGGCGAAAATCAAAAATGTTGAACAACAGTTCCGATATACACCGGTACGTTCTGAGCGCTGTGAACGGGGAACTTGAGGCATTGATGCCCATCAGGCGATTACCACTTCCCCTTCATTTGTAGAATATAAAATCTAAAATTTTTTTTAGTAATTCAGCGACAGCGAAAAAAGGCGATGAAGCTTTATATTTTA